CATTTGAAACATGTTCATTATAAATATGGTTTATATTTTTTCCATCTTGTAGAAACAAGCATATAAAATTTGCATTTTCTCTTATTGTTCTCTTAGGCAACTCAAAATAATTTTGTGCCAAGTAGAAACAATCTACATTGCTATGTCTTCCTCTTATATAGTACTTTTCACACTTGTTTTGCTTTGTTAATTGTAAATCATCAAATATCATTAAATTATTTTTAATACAGTTAAGATTTTCAGGTTCTGGTACATCCTCTGCTGTTTCAAAAAATTGACACTCTATATCTGTTTTATCTTTTAAATCTCTTGAAATGTTTTTAATAATAAACTCTGGACTTACATTGTTTTTATTTATTTGATCTTGCGACTTAAATAGTTCAAGAATAACTTCTTTTGGTAATCTATTTTCAAACGAATTTTTTAATATTTTGTATTCAGGTTGAAAAAGAGATTTTCCAAAAACTTGTAAATTATTATAGTCTAACCAACCAGGTCTTAAGAGCAAGTTTAATAATAATGTTGTCTTTCCACAACCTGATTTTCCAACAATAATCCCTCTTATACTTTTAGGTAATAACTCATTATTATGACGTTGACTTTGATTTACATTCCATAATAAATCTATAATTTCCATTTTTTATTTATGAAAAGTATTTTTTTTAATAGATTTGTGTTAAATAAATTAAAATACATAAATAAAAATGTACTGCGTTAAATGTAAAAACAAAACAGATACACTCAAATTACAACATGTTGTAAGTAAAAACAAAAAAAATATGATATGTGGGAATTGTTCAATCTGTGGAACAAAAAAATGTCAATTTACAAAAGGAACTGAAAGAGCTAAAAAAGGAGGTGATTTAGTAGAATCAATTAATAAATTCACAAGTAATAAAAAATTACCTTTGCAAAAGTTTCCAGGTGAAATGCATATACCAGGTATGAACTTTGCAGGACCTGGTACTAATTTAGATGAAAGATTAACTTCTACTGAGATGCCTAAAGAATGGAGCATGCCTGTAGATAGAGTTGATAAAACAGCTTATATTCATGATCTTGCTTATAAACATTATCCAGACAAAGATCATAGAAATTTAGCTGATAAAATGATGCTTGAACAAATGGATGCTATACCTAATCCTACACCTCGTGAAAAATTAGAAAGAAAGATTATAAAACCTATCATATCTGCTAAAGTAAGGTTTGGTATGGGAAATAAAGAGTCAATGAGTATTAAAGAATTATATCAAAAAAACTACCAGCGCAGAGGAAAAAAAGCAAAAACTTGAAATGGACTGATGAACTTGCAAATGAACTTCATAAACCTATAATAAAACATTTTAGAAAAAGAAAAGTAATTGCAAATGGAATAGATGAAATATGGGCTGCTGATTTAGTCGACATGCAAGCTTATTCTAAATTTAATAATGGTATAAAATACTTATTAATGGTTATTGATATATTTTCAAAGTATGGATGAATTATCCCATTGAAAAGTAAGACAGGTATTGAAGTTGCTGATGCATTTAATAAAATATTTAAAGATAGAAAGTGTGCTAAATTATGGGTAGATAAAGGCTTAGAATTTTATAACAAGCATGTTAAAGCATTAGGTGTTCATCTCTATTCAACTGAAAATGAAGAAAAAAGCTGTGTAGTTGAACGATGGAATAGAACAATGAAAGAAAAAATGTTTAAATACTTTTCTGCTAATTCTACTAGAAAATACATTGATGTTTTAGACGAAATGGTAAAACAATACAACAACACAAAGCATTCTTCAATTAAAATGACTCCAGGTGAAGCAAGCAATAAAAAGAATGAAAATAAAGTTTGGTTAAATTTAAATAGTAAAGTAAGATCTGAACATAACAAACTTAAGTTTACAATAGGTGATAAAGTAAGAATAATTAAAAAGAAAGAATTATTTGAAAAGGGTATAAACCAAGATGGACTGAAGAAGTATTTACAGTATCACAAATTCAATACACAGATCCACCTACATATAAAACAACTGATTATAATGGTGAAGAAATACAAGGTACTTTTTATGAACAAGAACTGCAAAAAACAAATCAAGAGATATTTAGAATTGAAAAAAATATTAAAAAACAAGGTAATAAATCATTTGTAAAGTGGTATGGGTATCCTGATACTTTTAACTCATGGGTTGATAATAAAGAATTGAAAGCTATTTAAAATTATCTTACATATATAAAAAAATGAACAACTCAAATGTAAATGTGAATATATGTGTAACAGCTACTTCTGATAATGCTAGTACAAATACTACTGTAACAACAACAACTTCAAATTACAACTCTAGCAAATGATGTAAGATAAAATTTATATATTTTTACAAGAAAATTAAAATAATTTTTTTTAAATGAGTTAAATAATTTTCTTTTATATATAAAAAGAATGTCATATGTAGATATTGAAAAATTTGATGAAGCAAATTTATATGTAAAAGAAATAAAAAAATTTAATAAACCTGTTCAATATCAAAAAATAGTAATTGAATACAAATACTCTAACTTTTCAGAACCTTTAAGAGTAAAAACTCCAAAATCGTTATCATATGGAGTTTGTGAAAATAGAGACATGAAAACAAAAGAACTTACAGGATACTCAATTCCTTTTGTATGTGAAAATGATATATTTATCGCAATTATTGAAGCTATTGAAAAATTTTGTAGAAATAAAGTTATTAAAAATGAAGCAACGTTGAAAAAAGGGGGTATGAAAAGCTTAAATATTAACAACTTGAATATTTTAAAGTATAGAAATGATGATTTTAATGCACCTCCAGTTATATATGCAAAAATACCAACAGATTATAAAAGTAAAAAGATGGATCAAGTATTCAGAAATAAAAATGGTGATATTTTAGGAGAAAGTCTTATTAAAAAAAGATGTGATGTTGTTGGATGCTTAGCAATTGAAGGCATATATATAGGATCAATGATTCAATCTATTCAAGTAAAATTATTAGATGCAGTTGTATCTAAAAATGAGTATAAGATAGAAAGATTTTATATTAAAGATGTAGACTTAGAAAGCGAAGATGAAGAGTAAATATTAATTTTATATATTAGCAAATAATATATAAAATGAGATCGCAAAGCAATCTAGGTCTCTTTGATCTAAATAATTATTATAAATATAAAAATGTATATTGAAATAGAAAAAAATAAACAAAATCCAGTCATAATTAAATTTGATGATATTATTAAACTTGATGAAAATAAAGAGTATGAAATGGCGCTTGATAGATTTCAAACTATTCTCTATAGTGATTCAACTAAAAACAAAAAAGTATATATATTAAATAATCTTGTAGATGAAAAAATTGTATCTAATAATGGCAATGCTAAGAAAACGACTGTAATGTATTCATTTATACCTATTATTGTTTCTAAAAATTCAGTTATTAATGAACAACCGATATCTAAGAAATATTTTCCTTTAAAAACAAACTCCATTTCAGAAATGAAAATTGATATCATTGATAACTTTAATAAACCTATAGATTTTTATGAAAGCTTTACTATAGAATTTCATATAAGAGAGAGAAAAAAGTAGGTTCCTTTGGAACTAATATAAATTTTTTTATATTGAAAACAATATAAAAAATTATGACATATATAAAAAATGTCAATAACAATACATATATCTTCAAACGATACTGTTATAAATACTAATATGGCAGTACCTATTGAACTAGATGCAGATAAAGAGTATGGAATAGCTCTAAAAAAATTAATGACTTATAATAGTTTTCCAAATATTATTGAAGGATTAAACAATACTATAAATATTACTATAGAAGCTAGTGATAGTCCTGGTTTTCAACAAATTAAGATCCCAACAGGATCCTATGAACTTAGAAATATAAATACAATTGTAACTAGATATGTAATGACTACTCTTAAAGATCAACTTGCTAAATATAAAGAGTCTTTTAAAAATGTACCAAGCACAGATATTGAAAGTTATAAAAAAAAACAAAAGTATGATAGTATAAGACTTGATCCTACATCTATTATGTTTGAAGCAAATTTTAATACTGAAAAATCACAGATTATTATTAATAAAAATAGCAATATTAGAATACAACTTGATGATGACTCTATAAAAGATCTTTTAGGTTTTAATAATAGAGATCGTGATGGTAATCTTATAACATTTGACTCATCAAAAGTATATATTTCAGATAAAGTAATAGATATAAATCATGTTAATACAATTTGTGTAACAAATAGTCTTGTAACAGGGTCAATTATAGATGGTGCATATTCAAATGTTATATATTCATTTTATCCATCTACGCCAGTGGTTTATAAAATTGTAGAGGTACCAAATAATCCAACTTATTATAGATTATTATCAAAAAAAATTTGGGATATGAAAACAACAATATCTGATCAAGATGGGCATATACTTACTTTACAAGGGGAACCAATAAGTATTGAATATGAAATAAAAGAAATTGTATCAAAATGTAAATCAGAACATCTTTTAGAAAGACAAGTATATCTTTTAGAAGAACAAAATGGACTTTTAAAAAAACAATTAAGATATTATCAAAGTGAATTAGGTCTCTTTGAGACCCAGAATCACAAAGAATTTAAAAAAATATATATAGTAAATAAAATGTTAGTTATAAATAATAAAGAATATAAACACAAGTATGTAGTAGGTGGAAGTGGAATATTTACAGATATAAGTAAGAGTATAATCAAGCAAAATCTTCTGATTTTTTTAGAGCATTATCTGGTATGAAAACAATGTTAACTAATCATTTTAATAAAAATGGACCAATAATAAAATAAATCTCGTTGAGGTCCAAAGTTATTTTAGAACTTGACAAAGCCCGGATCACAAAGCGATTTAAAAAAATATATATAGTAAATAAAATGTTAGTTATAAATAATAAAGCATATACACACAAGTATGTAGTAGGTGGAAGTGGAATATTTACACCTTTTTTAAGTATGTTCAATAAGCAAGTACTAAGTAATGCATTTAATGCATCTCGTAATTTTGCTAGTAGAGCAGCTGCTACAGACTTGGGAAAAACTGCAGTAGATGCAGCAAAGTCAGCAGGGAAAGAACTTGCAACTTTTGCAATATCTACTGCTAAAGAAATTGTAATAAATAAAGGTAAAAAATTAATAGAAAATGTAAATAAATCATCCAAGCTAACACCTGAAAATAAACAAGAACTTAAAAATTTAATAAATACTTTAGATAGTAAAGTACATGAAATAGTACCAGACATTAATAATATTTTGATGGGATCATCAATAAAAAGTAAACCTGTTAGAATACAAGATTTAGTTAAAAAACATAAAGGCGATGGGCTTAAAATAATATAATTTTTAGAACTACTAAAAGTGATTTAAAAAAAATATATTGCATATATAAAAATGGTAAAATCTGATATATTTAATATTACTGATGAATTGAGATTTGACGAGGAAATTAAAAGATATGAAGAATATGAATTTACACCCTCTGTTAATTCTAATTTAAATTTAGGAGAAATAAGAATTTTTATTGAAAGCAGTGATTCTTTTTTTCATCCACATGAATCCTATTTAGAAATTGAAGGAAGACTTGTAAAAGCAGATGGAAGT